CGCAATATGGTTCATGGGGTCACGAAGAGTCGGACACGACTTAACGACTAAACAACAACAATTAGAAAAGTTTAACATAGCCTTTTTTCATACACTGGAGAATTTTACAAATAAAACTTACCACTTAATAGGAAAAGCTTTATCTCATATTTTCTTTTTTGTTCCATATTCCAGTAATATTCCTGCATAGGCTAAATGTGATCAGGAAATAGGGCTTCCAGTATCATCCTTCAGTGATAATTTAGTTGGAAAACCTGCTTGCCTTCAGTGAATGTTTAGAGCGGTGTTTCTCACCCTTAGCAACTTTAATTCCCCATGTTAGCTGGGGAATTCTGGGATTGAAGTCCACACATCTTAGAGTTACCAAGGTTGAGAAACACTGGCTTAGAGAGAGATTTTTACATTACTCTATCTTGCATATGTCTATACGTAAATGAGTCTGGCTGGAAACTCCTGTAACAAGTCTCCTCCACTTACTTTCCAGGATTGCTCTGGAACCTGTCCTCCACTGATGAACTGAAAGAAGATCTGATACATGATGCTCTTCCAGTTCTGACTGATCGTGTTATTATACCTTTTTCTGGATGGTGTGATGGTATTAGTAATAGATCAAGAGAAATGGTCGACCCGGAGGTTTTCTTCAATGCCACTGGCTGTTTAAGGTACATCACTGGACATAATATTAATATTTTAATCATATTATTAAAAATCACTATCCTCCAAAAGACCTGTATGCATTTTGTTTGTTTCAAATATTTACAAACATAGTGTTATCAATAATATAAAGGTAATCAAACTTTTTTTAAAAAAAAAATCAGATGCAACCCTTTGCATCCTTTTGTATATAGCTGGGATTCTGTTCTTTAAAAAGGCTGTTGTGGTTAAAAAGGCCTTACCTTCAGTGGAGTTGGTGATATGAAAAGAATGGGATCTTGCAAGCTAGCAGACTGGTGTGAAGGAGGCATTTATTTCAGTATTGGGTTCCAAGCCATTTAGGGCTTTGAAGATAAACAGCAGTACTTTGAGATGGCTCAGAAGGAAATAGGTAGCCACTAAGCTTTTTTAAAATTGGTGGAATATGAACCAAGCAAAGAATGCCAGTCTAAACTCTTCTATTGCCCTAGTGAAAGTTTCTGAATTAGATACTGCAATCATCCATATAAACATATATATGGATGGTGTTGCTGTTTTTTAATTAATGACATGCAGGTGCCAGCTCTATGTTGTGTCAAAGAGGAGTGTCCAGCTTTATTTTTAAAATGCAATCTTTCTGGCTTACCTTTCTGAGAACTGAAACAATGGCCTCTGGCTATTGAATTTCCTTAAATGGCCTATTGTATCGGCTTTCCTACCTCAAATTCCTTGAGCCATGGCAGTCACTCCAGTTTACATTATACAAAGGAAATTTGTGGGCAGGGAAGGTTTTACTCATGCCTAGGAAAATCAAACAGGCTCCTTGGCATGCGGATATTAGTTCTGACTTGCAGTTTTCATTATCAGTCTCCTAGCTGCCAGCAACTAGGAACTATTGGATGGGCAGATGAAACATCTTTACAATTAGAAAATTTAATCAACTGAAGCACTGCCTTAGGGCAGGGATAGGCAGAAGATATATCAGAAGCTACTGGTACAATGTTGGGTGATCTACAGAAGATTAAGAAGGATTTTTGACTTTTAATTGTATAACAATAGCAAATACTGGATATCTTCCCTCTTTAAACTATATTGCTGAAAAACAGTGTTTGGGGGAAACCAGGGCTCCTACAAATTTGAGCTTTCTTCCATATTATGTTGTTTCGTTTCAGTGTAACACCCATATAATTTGTTCACATTAACTAATTTATTATAAAGAACTCCAACATATCACATCTGTACCCATTGAAGATATGGTGTGACACACTTTATCTTCAATATACAGTATTTCTCCAGTTACTTCATCGTATCTTCCTTCTTGCTCCTCCCTGGCACATTCCCTCTATAGTAGTTGGGACCAAATATGCAACTGCTTCCTACACTTGCATACTACTGCTGCTCTTTTTAAATGGTTTCTAAAACTCAGCCATCAGCAGATTCATTAAGATATAATCCTGTCTAAACAGCTGTCTATTTTATCCAAATGTCTAATCAAAGAATTTATTAGCATTTGCCCGCAGTGATTTTCATTGAGGTTATGTATTCTGTTATGAAACATAGTAAGTAATAGAGTAGAAGGGGATGAATCTGAGTGTTCTGTGCCCACAATTGCCCAATACTGGAGGTGTGGTTTCCTACTATCATGCATTGGAAAACACACAGAAAGTATAAAATTGCTGAACACCATTTTTTTAAAAAACCAAGCCTTCAGTCTGTAACTACAGAAATCATGGGGGAGGGAGGGGAGGCTTAGAAAATCCTGCTCCTGCCAACATGTGTGATGTAATATAATCCATTTTTCATCACTCCATGTACTCTAGTTGTTCTTTCCCTTGCCATGATAAGCTTGCCCATTCCTGACCTATACCATTCTCCTCCCTGATGCTTCCCAGATGTGTTGGACTTCAATTTCCATAATTCATACAAGCCTTTGACACTCTTGGCTGGGGATAATGGGGACTGAAGTCCAACACACTGGAAAGTTACAGCTTGATGAAGGATGGTATACAGAAAAGGAACAGCTCTCTGGGATTTTTGAATAGAGACTTTCCTAGCTCTACCCAAAACAGATGCAGGCCTTTTGCACATAAAGTCATGTACTCAGTGAGTGATCTATGGCCCCTCTCTCTCCTTTACTATGCTGTCTTTACAAATTAGTCTGAATGTTTAAGTTCAAACTGCTAATCAATCAGGTTATAATACAAAGTTCATGTTCCCAAGTTCAGATGAAGCCATTAAATCTGATATTTACCACACATAAATTACTTTATAAAGTCAGGAATCATTAAAATTGCAAGCACAAAATGAAGCTTACATATCCAAAGTGGCATCTGGAATGAGAAAAAAAACCCCAAACTTTCTGTCACACAGGAACCACAATTTTATGGTGGTTCTATGGGAGAGATCTGCAGGCAATGCTAGACCGCATTGCAAGCTAACTGCATGTGTTCTCAGAGGCTAGATGATATGGGATGGCATTATTTTGAGATTATTCTTTGTGAATCTGTAGAATATAACTGAGCTTTACTCAGCCTACAATCTCAAAGCATCTCTAAAATTCACTATTTATCTTATTCTTCTGCCTCTTAAGGAAGAATTTTCTGAGATGTTCTATGATTTTCTCCATGCCATATCAAAACTCAACTGAACAGATTATTCTTTCTTTTTCTTTATAACATGATCCTTGTAGGAACCTGAGTTCTGCAGATGCTGGACGTCAAACCATGAGAAACTATCCAGGACTGATCGACTCTGTGATGGCTTATACCCAGAATTGTGTGGCAGCTAACCGGCCGGATGATAAGGCAAAAAGATCTTTCTGTATACTTTATGAATTGATACAACTCTTTGTTGCCTGAATAATAAACCTGGGACTGAATCCCAGTGAATATATGAATGTGGAATAGATTTTCTTCCACTCCTCCCCACTGTATCTTTCAGTGCCCATTCCTATAAAAACCACATCAGAGACTTCAGATTATTGTGCCTTGTAATACTCATGACTGCAGTGAAAAAGGGAAATTGTTTGGGATCCAGTTAAAATATCTTGCAGCATTGGGGCTGCACTTTTACAAGACCTTTGCTCAATTTCAAATGCCTTTCTTTACCTCCAAATTTCTCGTAGAGTAGTAGTTGCATTCTAGGAAGCATAAAATAATGTTGTGTGACACATGTAGATAGGAAGAAATAAACGTTCATTATTACTAAATTCCAGATTCCATATATTATACATTTAAAATACTATCAGGCTTTACTCTAAATATACATTCAGTACTTTAGTCTCATGAATTTTTAAGCTGGATTGGTTTTTCTTGTATTTGTTAATTTATTATTTTCCTAATTTCTTCTGTTGCTTTGCTTCTATTACCTTCCCATTTCTGCTCTTATGTGAATAATTCAGACAATTATTACAAATTCCTTTTGTTTCAAATATTTCCAGAACCACAGTGGTTTCTATAACATTTTTCTCATCTTCTTTCTGGTGGAATCTTTATGACAAGTGCTTCACTGGGAGACCTGCAGTAAGGATAATGGAATGTAAAACCGAGGAATAAGTTCAAACTCTAAACCAAGATAACTCATTACTGTGTACTTCTGTGTATATCCAGGATAACAATGGTAAATGTACTGGTATAGTAAGTAAGTAATTTGTTATTCTGACTCTTGTAGTCCGTGGAGAACTGTATTTGTATCCTACACAATTTGTCCTACCGTCTGGATGCTGAAGTGCCGAATAAATACACCCATCTTAACCACTTGGCCAGGAGCACTTACACGGACAAAAGCTTGACAGGCTGCTTCAACAACAGAGGAAAGCTGGAGGTAGGATGTGAGGCACGGAGTGGCTTCATTTACAGATTGCAGAAGATGACATTCAAGTGAAGGCACCTTTCTCTGGAATACAGATAGATATCCTACATCTCTAGAATGGGGATAACAGTTGCAGGTGTCAGAGCAATTGCTCAAGTCTCAGATCTGTGTTTTCCCCTCAAAAGGAAATTTTTCCCAAAAAGGATATCTCATGCAATTTTGCCAATCCTTTGTGAAATTTTGTAACAGATGTCTGAAATTTCATGAGAATTCATATAAAATTTCATGAGAATTCATATAAAAATGCCAAAATGTAAAAATCCCACTGAAACCTGATGAGCATAGCAAAAAAGATGCTATCTCAATCAAATCCTATCAATTCTGCGGCAAAATTGCCAAATCTCATGAATTTTGGCAACCTATCAGAATTACTGAATTTTTGTTTATTTTCAAATTTGCTTTGGTACCTGAACCAAAAGTGATTGTAAAAAAGTATGCATCTTACAACAGATACTGCTCAGAAAATATCACTATATGTCTTTAGTATTTGATACAACTGTGCCAATTGTATAAGCTTTTGTAAGCCTGGGCCATGAAGTCACAAGTATATTAACTCATACTTGTACCCTATTTAGCAAACTAAAATGATAAATTAGGGTGATAAAATGTGGCCCTTTTGCTCAATCTGAATGGTTTAGATTTTCCTTCTGATTTATCCTTAGTATAATGAATACAATTTACCTCTTCCTGAAGAGGACTATAAACCTAAAGGTTCCAGCTGGCTGTATCATTCAGATGCCATCCGCACCTATCTGTCTTTAATGGAGCATAGCAAAAAAGATGCTACCCTGGAGGCATGTGCTGGAGCTCTGCAAAATCTGACTGCAAGCAGAGGAATGGTAAATATCATATTTTTCCCTATATGCTTTGTTAGACTTTGGGGGAAACCCTCTATTTCCCTCTTGTGAAGAGAAACAGCAGAAAAATAAAATTAAATAATATTTAATAATATAAATTATTATATTTATATAGTTTATATATCTATGTATACACGTGAAAGTATTTAAATAAACATTTAAATAAATTTAAAAATACTAAATATATTTAAATACATTTAAATAAATATGTTTAAATAGATTTCAAAATCCAATGCAATCGGAAAGATGTACCCATTTTGTTTGTTTAGTCAACCTGCTGATAAAAATGAATGCTGTTAATACTGATCAAACGTCTTCCATTAGAAAAAATTAAAGAAAATATTTTGGATTAGCAAAATATTCATTGGGAAGATTTATTTATTTTTTTATATTTCAAATTTAGTCAGCGCCCATCTCCCTCAAAGAGTGACTCTGGGCAGTTTACAATAAAATAAGAATAAATTCTGATTAAAATACAATAAAATGCTCATAAATACTAAATGTCTTTCAAGGCACTGGTGGTAAATAAAGGTTAATAACCCACGGGAGCGTAATTGCCTTTCATTTACAACTATTTTTTTACATTTGTTCTACAATGTATAAGTGTTTGTGTGTAAATAGCAATCCTTAGAGCTAAGACAGTATTACATGCCTAATTTGTTTAAGAGTTTCAACAAATATTTGGTTTGTTTATTCATCATGTCAGGTTAAGGGCTAACAATTCACCTCTTCTCAGTACCCACTGGAAGTGATTATTGAGAATCATTGAGATTATTGAGAATTATTGAGAAGGCATCATGTGGATAAATCACTTGGTCTTTCATAGATATATACAAAACAAACAAGAACAAAGAAAATAAGAAATAGAGAAACAAGAAAGAAATTGAGACAGAAAAAAGAAAAGAAAAAACATACAGTTAGGCCTTCCAGCCTTCTTTCTATCAAATAATTGTCATCTTAAACTTTTCTCCAATCTCTTCATCTCACTTTTAATCCCCAAATCCTCAATTCGTTTTTTTCTTCTTTCAGCAAACATTCCATATAAGTGTTCCAGTCTTTTAAAAGAAGTCTTTATCACTTTTTCTCTGACCAAACTGGTCAGCTTCACCATTTCTGCAAGTTCAATTAATTTTATGATCCAGTCTTCCACTGTGATAAGTCACTTGGTTTTAATGGTCTTCGGTTTCTACTTGCTTCAATCTATGGCAGGGTTCTTCAACCTTGGCACCTTTAAGACAGGTGGATTTCAACTCCCAGAATTCCCCAGCCAAGGTTGAGGAACCCTGATCTATGGGATAGTTAATGCTCATGCAGAGAAGAAGTCATGAAACAAAGTTCATTACAGAACAAAAACAACTTTTTTTTCTTTTATTAGAAAAAACTTAAAAAGAATCGTAAGCACTGCAAGAAAGTAAAATAAGGAAATAATGCACAATATAGCAATTAGCAAGCTCTAATGCGACATACTAGTTCCTAGATTCTAAGCCTTAAATTTCAAATTAATTCCGCAGAATATATGCATACAGGTAATCCTCAAATTATAATGGCAATTGGGACCAGAATTTCTGTTGCTAAGTGATCTGGTCGTAAAGTGCGATGTCATGTGACTGCATTGCTTAGTGACAGCAATCCCTGCAGTCCCTGTTGCCATCATTAAGTGAAGATCATGGGTTGTTAAGCGAGCACCTCCTTGCAACTTCCTGCCAGTTTCCAGCAACCAAAGTCAGTGGGGAAGGCAGCAGGAACTTGCAAGTTCAAGGCAGCTGGCAAGCAGGCTGGCAGGCAGGTAAGTGGATGCTGCCAGGTGGGAGAGGGAGTGAGTGGTGCATGGGTGGCAGGGGAGGTGTGACACAAGCACAGCGGGGCTTGGGGAGGCTGCTGCTACTGTGGGGGGGCAGGGTGCATGAGTGGCAGGGAGGCATAGTGTGAGCACAGTGAAGCTCAGGGAGGGTGCATGAGGGTGTGTGGAGCAGGCAAGGTGTTGTGCAAGCACACAGGGGCTGGGGGCAGGTGGATGGGTGGGGGAGACTTACCAGACTAACTTGTGACTTTCCCTGCCAGCTTCCCCGTTGATTGTTTGTGGGAAGCTGGCAGGGAAGGCTGAAAATTAGAATCATGTGACTGTGGGAAACTGCAACCATCATAAGTGCAAGCTGGTTGCCAAGTACCCAGATTGCGATCACATGACCACAGGGCTGCTGGAATGTCCAGAACTTTGAGGACTAGAATGACCACCATTCGTTCAGTGCTGCTGTAACTTCGAAAGGTCGCTGAACGAATGGTCATTAACCGAGGACTACCTGTAGTGTTATCTGCTTTAGAACACAACTTGGGGGTAAGGGGAGAAACTGAGAAAGTTGTTACATTCTCTCAGTGTTGGCCTTTTTCAGGCTTTCACCCTTGAAACTCCAGGCTTGAGCAAGGCCAACTTCCTAAGGGCTTATGCCTGAGCTGTTTCCTAAGGAAGATTCCCTTTTGTGCTTCTTGTCCAAGTTAGGGCTTTGTCATTAACAGTTTGTTATCAGAGAACCCCACAGGAGTTGTGAGTAATATGCAAAAACAGGCCTGCTCTAGCTCTGCTTTTCCTGGAAAGCTAGCATGATGAAACAGCAAAAACAGCAAAATGGCTGAAGAGTTGTTTTTTGAATATGTTCTCCTAGCAGTAAGGGATCCTGAATGCTCCATGTTTTGTTCTAATTTGGCAATTCAGAAATCATTTCAGATGTAATTTTGCTTTGTCCTCTAGATGTCAAATGCAATGAGCCAACTAATTGCCTTAAAGGAAAAAGGACTGCCCCGCATTGCACGGCTCCTGCAGTCCAATAATGCTGAAGTTGTCCGCTCTGGAACTTCTTTACTGAGCAACATGTCTCGACATCCTATTCTCCACAAAACCATGGGTAGGCATTATTTTGTATTCCATGAGTGAGTCTAATATCTTTCCCTCCATCCCTTCCTTCACAATGCAAAATGCAAAAATCCCTATGTTACATCTAATTAAGACATTGAAATCTCATAAATATATCTTTTTGTGGAGCATTTTATTTTAAAAGATCATCAGCTGTAATGAATAGGTATCACCTTTCCTATTTTATCATAATGTTTTAATATTTGAAACGTTCCTCAACCTGTTATTGTCTCAAATGTCTGGACTACAACTCCCAGATTTCCCTAAGCACACTGGCTGGGAATTTTGGGTGTTGCAGCTTTGACACATCTGGTGAGCAGCATGACAGGACAGGCTTCTCTAGTAGCTTCCCTAGTTGTCCATGTTAGTAGCACTCTGTTGATCTATCATTTATTCATTAGTATCACGGGGGTTCAAGATTAGATATATTGTGAAACAGAAATACAAAAGAGAGAAGACTGATTTAATCATTTCTGAGCTGTGCTACTTTTCACATGAAGTGATGTTACTTCATCTTTATGGGTCAAATATATTTCACTAGGAAATCTACATGAACTTCCTCTCTACCTGATGCTAATGTGCTGCAGTCCTTTCTACACCATAACTTTATATAGGGAGAACCTAGGTTCTGTTGGTAAACTGTGGAGTCCTTTGGGGTTCTCTGAGCTTGGTTCTTTTCTTGCAAATGTTTCATTACCTGGCTAGGTAAC